CCACGGCATGAGATGAGCCTACACGGCTCGAGAACGCCTTCACGACATGAAATGAGTCTCCACGACTTGAGACAAAAACACGACCATCAAAGTCGAAAAACAAATGACGCAGCAAACCGAATCAGAAACCAAATCATATCTGATCAGTAAAACACCGGACAAAACCGGAGAACATGTCAGATGAAGCAACCACAAAGAAAACCAAATCACACCAATCCAGTGGAGAAATCAAATGGTTGCAACAAGGCTAAAATTGCCAGAAGCAGTGTAACAAGACGAAGCTGGAGAAATTAAAGCATATCTGGAGACTATAATCTTCAATGAGATTAAGTCAACTAGCAGCGATCGGAAGTGTCACATGGTGCATGACACAAGAACAGAACCATATCCATGGCTGATCGGAGATCAAGAGTTAGCTGAACCAATCCAAAGTGACGGATGAAGACGAGACAATTACGGCACCGTAAGATCTAGCGAAAACGGCTGAGCATGCGATAGATTCACAAACTGAATCACTGTCCAAAACGACAAAGTGTGAACGTCAATCGAGAAGATCCAATGACCTCACAGAGAGAGAAAGCAACCAAATCTGAGAAGACAGCAGCAAAAGAGACGAAATCTGAGACGATCTTGCCGAATTCAGTGATGAAACTCAGAGAAACATGGAAGAATGTTCAGATGGTACAGTTCTGCGAATCGGAGATAACAATCAGCTAACGACCAACTCGAACAGACAGATTTGAGAAGAATTGAAAAGAGGAACAAATGAAATCTCCACAGAAAATATTTTTTCTCTGATACCATGTTGAATTCTAGAGAGAATTCAGAAATGAAAAAGAGATTTGGGAATAATTTCTGTATTGATTAATATGAAATGATCCATACAAAACGTATTTATACTAATTCTAACTACATACTCTAATAGACTTCAATGGCAGTTGTTGTTGGGCTTTAGGTTCATCTCATCCTTCTCCTAATCCTCGAACCATTAGTAGTAACCCTAATTCGAGAGTTTTTGTTCAGCGTGTATTTGATTGTAGTTCATCAAAAGATTGGGTTTTAATTTTGCTTTAAAAGGGTTTGTTTGGTTTGGTTTTGTGGGTCCGAATCGTGCATTTTCATTGTAATTTTCAGAAGGAAGATGGATGCTTTTGATGCCAACGATTTTATGAACATGCATGATGATCATATATGGCAACACACATGCCTCCCGTGGACGTGTGCGTGTGATGGGAACTCGAACAAATTATAATGAATTTGAAGCCATTGATTGATGAACATAAAAAGTAGACAGTGTAGTGTATGAGATCGATTGAAGCAATCATGAAATAAAATAATCAATTCAGTTGTATCAAAAATGTAATTGTGTTGCACAATTATGTTCATTTGGTAGACCTTAATGTTGGATGTTTATGGCTATTTTGATTTTAATTGGGAAAGAGAGACAATGGGCCAAGAAGACAAGGGGTTTCAAATTGTCTAATGATTGTGTTTATCATATAATATTATTATACATCTCTATCAATCTATATCATATGATTTATATATTAGATATATAACCATATAAGCAAAATCATTATGGGGCTTAACATTATAATATATAAAAAAATTGCAACATTATTACGGTGAAATAATTTGATAATTGGTAGCATATGCATTTGTCCAAAGGAGTGGGTGAAGGGTAGCTTTCCTAAATGCATAATTCTTAAACATGGTTTATTAATTTCGAAGTGTAATTAACAAGTGAAAATAATACTGTAATAAGACGTTGATAAATTACTGAATAATTTATTTTCTTTTTCTTCCCCTATAAATCATGTCAATAGAAATAGCAGATGGTAATAAATAATTAAATAAAAAAAACAAAAGAAAAGAAAAAGTTGCCCCACATCTTCTGAAATGATCTAATCCATCCTACCCACTTCATGCAACCCAAAATTATTTCTATTACCTAATAATTCAGTATATATATATATATATGAGAAAATGAAAATATAATTAATTATAGGTATAAATTTGGAAAACAGTTAGGTGCATATAAAAAGTTTGTATGGTTTTCTCCTCACATAAGATTTTTTGTATTTTACTTTTCAAGAATTCAATTTCCATCCGTCCATTTTAAATGTCATAACCGATTATAGTTTTCAAATATGCCTACTAATCATTAGGGGTATAAAGATCCGTATACGATTTTAACTCTATTGTTTTCGGATTCATATTTATATTTTTCCGATTTCACAAAAAGATTCTATTTTTTTTTATATCAGAATATTTGATTTAATTCAAGTTATGTTACTATTTTCATTTTTAAAAAATTCCGATTTTTAAGATGATTTTCAAATTCACCCGTAATTAATTAATTTAGATTTACAAATCATGAACAATTAATTCTTAGATGTGCAATTAAATAAATTCAATTGGGGTTACATGCTCTAGCCCCACTAATCACAACAAGAAAAGAACTAAAATTCACGCAAATTAACATCTAAACAACCAATTGAATCCATAAAAAAGTTTGTAGATATATTAATTAATATATGTGATAGCCTTATCGAAGAGCCCTCTCACCCCATGGCCATCGAACTTCTCTCTCTATAATAATAATAAAAAAATCTGTGAATTTTTTTCTTCTTCTAAATTTCATAAAATTATTATTTTTACCATGTTTCATGAAAGGATGAGAAACCAAAGATAAGAGAGCGTCATGCACCCTTGTTCCCAAATACCCCAACATATTCTTTTCAAAAAAATTTACTGTTAAATTTAAACTATGTGAATATTCACTGCACTGTTTCTCAATTTTATTTTGTTGAGTTCTGTGAAAGCACAGTTCTAGAGTAATAATAACATTTTATTACCTCAAAATATTTTTTACTGTTTTGATTTTTATTTTTACTACATCGTGAATAAAGTAACCCTTGCATTTAGGGGAAAAACAAGGGAAAAAAAAAGAAAGGTCAAGTAAAGATTATAAGATTATATATATATATATATATTTGCATATTTAATCGCTTTTATACTTGGAAATTAAAGGGGAGAATTTAAGAAAAAAATCCAAAATTTCATTAGGGTGTTTCAAGGAAGAGTGAAGCCAATCCGGTGACGGCCTTCACATCTCTCTCCAACGCTCGCGGCGGCGGAGGCTGCCACGCCACGTCATCGTTGCCGGTGAAAAACAACGGCGGAGGAGGAGAGGAAGAGGAATTCACTCCCGGAGACATCCGTTTCTCCCCGAAAATCAGCTCAAGCTCCGCTCCGGAATCTTGCTCCGGCTTCTCCGCCGCGGCCGCAGACGGTGGCTCCTCGGCGGAGACGGTGGCGCGTGTGTAGGATGAGTGCCATTTGGCTCGCATGTACTCGGCTTTCCTCCATGGAGGGAGATGCATACCCTTCTTCTTCAAGCTCTGCTTCGCTGCCTCCGATACGACGGAGAGGATCTGGCCGAGCCGGTCTAATTTTCCGACGAAGATGAACGGAAGAGATTGAAGCACGGCTTTGTAGGAGCCGGTTTGCCGTGCGATCTCGAACTCCGATCGGAAATCAACGTCGACGAGCAGCCGTTCACCTTCCACGATCACATCTATGTACTCGTACTCGCCTGGATTTTTTTTTCAACGTAAGCGAAATCGCACAGAATTGATGGGAAGAAACGCAGGAGATGATGGTTGTGGAGATTTTACCGGCAGGGGAAGAGAGAGATTTCTCCCATTTGGATTTGCAGATGGAAGAATCGTAGCCGAGAGATGAGAGTCCTTCCACGACAATCTTCCTCATATCGTCTTTGCGTTTGAGGGATTTGTTCATCTCGACAATCCTCGCCGCGTCAGCTAGCAGGTTCCTCTCGGCGACGCTCGCGCAAGGGATCAAGCTCTGTTGGATCGAGAACACAGCAGTGAAATCGTTATAACTATGTTTTGGCAACTGAGAAATTGGAAAGGAGAGGCCGACGAACTAATTGTGCATACCTTCAGATAGTCGGATGCGTCGGACAAAGATCCGCCGGTGAAAGAATCGACGGAGCCGCCGAACAGATCTAACTCGTCATCGGAGCTGTCGTCGTTGTTCCCGTTGAAGCAATTGCAGCGGTTGCGACCACATTTGGGTTGCTTCTCGTTGTTTTCCTCTATGAAGTTCTGAACCATCTTCGCCAAGCAAACGGAGCTCGGCTCGAACTCAGCTCCGGTACCTCCACCTCGGCCGTAATGAGCTTCCCCAGCGCCAGCGATGGGTTTCTCCGAGGTCGAACTCCTCAAGACGCTTGTGAACGGCCGATCAAACAGCCGTTTGAGGCGAGACTTGAGCACCGGTTTGCCTGAATCCGCTCGAGCTGGCTCTCTCACCGCCGGTGAATCGATGTCAATAGGCTGGATCTTCATCGGAAATGGCATCTCTCGGGAAGACGACTAAGTAGAAGAAGATCTGATATCTCTCCGTCTCTCTCTCTCCCTCCCCGGAATATGGTCCAAGTCAGTTCTCGTTCAAAGGTAGAAACAGAAACAGAAACACAGAAAATTCAAATTCCGTCAAGAACTCCACAAATTCGTCCACATTTACACCTGAGATCCCTCTCCCGAAACAAAATTCAAAAGTCAAATTCCAAAAACTGACAGCATCTGGGTCTCGGAACCGCAAAAGAAGAAGAAGAAGAAGAAAAACGGAATCTACCAAAACCTCTCAGCTACTACCAGAAGAAACCTATTCCGTCTTCTTCAATCAGCCGATCATCTTCACAAAACAAAGAAAAGAATCATACTAAAATATGGAGAAAAGAAGTCTTAAGAGACGGATCAAGTTGTCTTAGCTCCGAGGGTTTTCACGGAACACATGACGACGGTGGTCAGAGATGGCTATTCTACGTGAGGAAATAGGGGACTTAGTCACCAGAATATCCATTTTTTCCGGCGAGATTCACTTCGCCGGTGGATGATGAAGAAGAAAAGAAATATACAGAGAGAAATATCTTTAAAAAATGTTTTTTTTTTCAATTTTTTTCCTGGTGTGGATGAGATGGTGTGGGTGAAAGGAGGTTGGGTGGTCTTTATAGGAGCAAATAGCCGAAGCTGAAGAGGCTGTGGTGAAGCTGACTTGGCACGAAAATGCCACGTAGGATGTTACGTGGTAGCTATTTCTTGCTCGCCTTTACCAAATTACCATTTTACCCTTCGTAGTGGAATGAGTCGGTTAAAGTTTTTTTTTTTTTGCAGTGTATTTTAATTGCCTCGTCCTTTTTTTTTAAATCTCAGTGTGGTAAATCCTTTTTACAGGGACGTGTCAGTAAATGGAGTAGTTCAAGTTACGCATTTATCCCTCCCACTAGCGTGGAATTTCGGGCCAATACCCCCAAGTCTCGGGCATTTCAGAAAATGGTTATTTTGTTATTTATTTTATTTATTTTTTATAGTTGCAAACGATGTCACGGGAAAATTATAGAAACAGACACTTCCAATAGTTACGAGACACGTGTCGCCAGTACATCTTTCCCGTGAAGAGTGAAGCCAATCCGGTGACGGCCTTCACATCTCTCTCCAACGCTCGCGGCGGCGGAGGCTGCCACGCCACGTCATCGCTGC